CTTTGAGATAAAAAATGTTTGATATTTGTCTTTGTCTTTTACGACGAAAGACAAAAATCGTGCAATGTGCGGGGTCGAAAGACAAGTTTTTAATTTTTAAACCAATAAAACTTGGATTATATGGTCACGTGAATTCTGTGGAGCCTTTCTTTCCCGCCAAAAGAAAAAAGATCGAGAACGCCATGGAGAATACAGAAGACGAAGTCGGTATATGGACAGCAAGCAAAGAGGAGCAGCTTGTCGATCTGTGGCAAGAAAAGGCTTGTCTGTATATGGTTACGTCTCCAGAATATTCAGACAGAAACAAGAAGCTAGCAGCCCTGAACGAAATTGCAACTAAACTTTCTTCAAACGGTGAGTGAATAATTTTGACTAGCTAGCTAGGCTAGTCCTCTTTTCTTAGGCCTACTCAATTTGAAGTGAAACATTGCTGTACGAATTCATGTTTTATTCATTCTAGTGAATCAAGTAAAAAAAAGAATCGCATCTCTGCGCACGCAATATGCACGCTCCCGCAGAATCCCAAGCAGTGGAAGTGCACGACCAAAAAAGACGAAGAAGACTTAATGGATAGAAGACCGCCTTCAATTTTTAAGCCCATATGTATCCAACAGAGTGTCTATTTCTAATTTGCAGGTACAATACAACACTAGCTAGTTGAGTTCATTATTTTTTGTTGCAACCATACTATCTTGCCATGATACTGATCCAGATGTTGAGCAAAAATATTGTTTCAAAAGCTCACGCTGACCCTTAGCACTTAATGAACAGTTTCTGTTTTTTGTCTTCTGTAACTCAGTTAGAGATTTGTCTAATCTCCAGCTGCCTTGAAAAAGCTCATGGTTGTCTCTTTCACTGTCACATGCATTTTTATATGAAGGCTGCTCATCAATCAGCATGTTGTGCAGACAACAAATTGCCAGCACAATTTGCTTAGCCTTTTCAGGCTCCAACATAATCTTTGTCAGCATCACCCTGAACCTATTAGCCATGATACCAAAAGCGTTTTCGACAACCCGTCGTGCTCTAGAAAGCCTGTAGTTGAAAATGTGCTGTTCATGTAACAGTTGTCTAAATGGGAATGGTTTCATGATATCATTTCTCAAGGGAAATGCATCATCACCAATGATATGATAATGACATTTGATGCATGTTTCCCCAAATTGCTCAGCTTCTGGAAAGGCAATTGATTTGTCTTTCATCTGTTGATTTAGAGGCGATGTTTCAAAAAGTCCAGCATCACCATTTCTTCCACTTGCACCAACATCAACAAATATCAATTTGTAGTCATAACTTGCCAATGCTAGAAGGACTATGCTGAAATATCCCTTGTAGTTGAAGTACTCTGATCCAGACATTTTTGGTTGTTTGATTGCAATGTGTTTGCCATCTAATGCACCAACACAAAAAGGATAGTCCCATAAATTGTAGAAACCATCACTGATTGTTTTCCATTGATGAGATGTGCTTGGAATCTAAAATACAAAAATATTAAATTTTAGTCTTCAACTGAAAGTTTATCTGAGCCACAGCTTAACACTGGTGACAGTGACTGTGATGGAGACTTGGACGACAATGATGCCCCTGCTGCAGAGACACCAGTTTCAACAAGCAGGCCACTGGCTGCTGTTAAAAAATCCAAAACTGCAAAGCAGAAAAAGGAAGAGGAAGAACTCTCCATTCTGAAGTCTCTTGCATCATCTTTCTCTGCAGATGAAAATTTAGCTGCAAAAAAGGATGCAAAGCCAAGCCCTTCAGCTGCCTTTGGGGAATACGTTACACATGCTTTGTCTGTGATGGATGAGAAAACAAGACTTGTTGCAATGAACAACATTCAAAATGCTCTTTTTCAGGCACAGATGGGCTCTTTCTCAAATGAATTCAACAACCCATATCATGCTGGTCAACATGCTAGAATGCAGTCTTTCAGGCAGTCACTTGACCAGCAAGATATGAGTGAAGGGCCATCGTACAGATTCTAATCTTTAAAATTCATACAGTATATTGCTTTCACTGCACTCGTCAATGTTATGTGAGTTGGTTTTAATTAGCACATTAAATATTGTATTGAAAACCAAAAAGTAGAAAACAAAAAATGTTATGTACCTTAAGATATCTATCCTTAAGATTCTGATAAATTGCATCACAAGTTTCTGTCACTATTGATGAAATTGTTCTTTCTCCAAGTCTATATGAAAATCCCAGGCTGTGAAATGACTCTCCTGTAAAGATATGCAACATCTTATTATACCAATCAATATCTAAAATGATATGATTACCTCAATTTCTCCATGTAAGATTATCAGATTTATGATTGCATTCATTTTGATGATACTCAATTCAAAATGCTCATTATGATTGGCATTAAAGGTGAAATGGTTTGTGAAAGATATCAATTAGTAAGAAGTATTGTCATTATTGTTATTAAGTATTGCTACGAACTCTGTAGAAGAAACATTTAGAATATTTAAAGTTATTTTTATTATTCACAAATATATTTTTACTTTTCTCATTTGTATCCTATATTTTCTCTTTGAATCAAGCTGGCAGACTATTGTGAAATCTCACCTGTTGCTAAGTATCGTAGTGTGACTGCAAGTCTTTCTGCTGCACTAATTGATTTTCGCATGTGAGTGTCTTTTCTTTGAATCATTGGTCTTACTTTGGCAAGAAGAGATTTGAAAAGGTCTTCGTTGAGACGAAAATAGCGTTGGTACATAGGTTTATCCTCCGATGCTAACTCCTGAACAAGATTCTGATATGCTCCCAGCTCATTTCTACGCTCAATCCAGGATTTCACCCACATTCGTCTCGCAATTCGCCTCCTTCTTCTTCGTCTTATTAAAAGGATAATAGCCAACAGTGCTTTCTTTTTTGTCAAATTCATAACCTTTGTCAGTTTCTTGAGCAATTTTATTCGTGTTTGGAATTTTATTTTACGCGCCAAGAAGTTCAAACAATGTGAAAAAGAGGTCACAAAACTTAATCGAGGCACTAATCCGAAAAAAATCGTGCTGTGTGCGGGCAATCAGTTTTTATGAAAAAGACAAAAATCTTCGTCTTTTGCGACAAATATCTGCTGTGTGCGCTAGGCTTTAGGAAGGACTTTCTTCTTCTAGTTCTCTGTACTGTGAATCCATTTCACTTGGAGACACGTTTAGCCATGCAATCTGAAACTTCATTAGATTCTAATTGGCTAATACTGTGAAGATCGTCAACAGTCTGAAGAAAAGTTGAATTCAGGTCTACTCAATTCGTCAAGATAATATTTTCGTCGCGACAATATACTTTTGCGTATGGGTCACATCATACAGAATTCAGAGGCAGTCTTACAACGGGCATGACCAGTAAAGATTCAAAACTCAAAACATTTTATAGAAAAGTACAACGTGCACTAAATTTTTACCTGCCTTTACAGCCCGCCCTAAATTTAAAAAAAAACCAAAGGAAATATCGTACTGTTTATAATGACATACTGGGTGGGAAAAAATCTACGGCTGGTAGGACAAGATTGGTGTATAAAGAAGAGTTTACAATTTAGTGCATAAAACAAGGCGGCTCTAGCGTGCAACTTCAACTCAGCCATCCTAATCTTCCCTTTAAAACAGAAATAACAAACAGCTCTCTACGACTCGGGCGTACTCTTTTACCTTCCTTCACTACCTCCCACGTGCATTGCCACTGACAGCTTAATTGCTGGCCCTGTGTCAGTTATAGGTCCTCATTCAGACTAGCTGTGCTGACGAGCCTACCCTGGGTTCTTGAGCGTCAACAAGTGTGAGCGTCAAGTGATGCGTTGAGGAAATAGCGCGTTATCGTGCCGGTCCCGCACCAGGGTAAGATGAGCTCTGATACTGGACGAAACTGGTCTACAGCCGACTATTTGAGGTGTTAGTGGTTTTCTTTACTTGCCATAGTTCAACCACAGTTGTGTGCTTTATCATGTGACACGTTTTAAACGTTGCCAATTGCTGCGCTTGGCGCATGCGCGAATGGATAACAATGAAATGTTGTTGTAAAGAATATTATGCTTGCTCTTTCGTCGCGCGCAATATTGTTAGCTGTAGCACAGAATGATATGCTTGCTCTTTCGTAGCATGCAATATTGTTGGTTGTAGCACAGAAAAAAATGCTTGCTCTTTCGTCGCGTGCAATATTGTTGGTTGTAGAACAGAAAAAATGCTTGCTCTTTCGTCGCGTGCAATATTGTTGGTTGTAGCACAGAAAAAAATGCTTGCTCTTTCGTCGCGTGCAATATTGTTGGTTGCAGCACAGAATAATATGCTTGCCTTTCGTAGCGCGCAATTTGTTGGCTGTAGCACAGAATATTGTTCTTGCTCTTTTGTCTCGCGCAATATTGTTGGTTGTTGGAAATGGTTGTTGAGAATAGTGAAAAATCAGTGACAAAAAACAGTTATTTGGTGTTCTAAGGAATTTGGACATGTGTTGTAGCTGGTGAGATAACTCAATAACTCATTGGCAATTTGTTTGGTATTGAGGTAGTCTTGAGAACTTACCCTGGGAGAAAAGTCAGTCGGTTCCATACCACGACATTCGAATTGGGCGATTTTTTTGAACTTACCACTGTCTTCAAGCTGGCAAGAAAAAAAGTATTATGTATAAAATGACTATCTATAAATTTTTTGCGAAAAAGACAGAAATGATGTTAAGAAGTTCGAACTATCAATCAATATACCAGACAAAATGAGTCGGGCAGTTTAAAATGAACTGACATCTCAATTTGTGCGTCCACAATCAATGTGGACGCACAAAAGACAATATAAATAAGGAGTTGGACGTCATCTAAAAACGAGTGAAAAAAGGAAGGCCCAAGCATGCAAAAGATGACATCATCTCTTATAAAAAATTATCTTCAAACAATCAGTCGAAAGCAAGATAACAGAAACACAGAGTTTTGTAATCTATTGCTGTTCTGCGCTAAGAGCAGTTAGAATCAGAAGTATCTTCAGGTCTTATGCGGACTACACATTTCCGAAGATAATTTTACGGTTGATTAATTACTAAAAATTTCACGTTCGATATTTTTTCGGTTAACATTTTTGAAAATTTTTTGTAAAATATTCTGACGGTTATTTAAATTCGCTAAGCTAAACGTAATTCATCTTTATGGTTGTCCAATTTCTTAAAATATTTCGTTGATCTTGGAAATAATCGACTTTGTAACTCCATCTAACCAACAATAATAGCTTAGATATATTTCAAAGAATACGTTAACTTGGGTGCATGTCATTGTACTACTCGACAAATCAGCGGATCGGCGAACGCAACCACATTCCCAGTGAAAGTGCTGCGCATGCTTAGAGAGGTGTTTTCGCTCACTCGCGCGACCAGTGCGAACCAAGTAGCAACCGACTTTTAGAAGCCCGTACTCAAGACCACTCACTTTCAAGCTAAGAATCTAGAGCACCTGACGTTACTTGCAATTTGCGTTTGAAAATTTCCGAAAAGGAACTCCTAGATGGCAAAAGCTCTTTTGAAACAGGATTATTTCAACCGGCTGTCCAATTTCAATGCCCCCTACAGTACCGGCACCTGCTTAAAGATGCAGGATATTTCTACCTGAAATGAAGATCTGAGCGCATTAATTACACTTGAAATCAAAGCCGATACTTCGAAACTGACATTCATAATCGGTTTTTCTTCGGTCCAAAATCTGGTATATCCTGGATGACGAAGCCGAACAAGCATTCCGAATAAGCATTCCGAACAAGCATTCAGGTCAGATCATGATAAAAGTTAGCTACAATACATGCCAAGAGTCTTTGTACATTAAGTTAAAACTTTTCAGAAGTTCAGTAAAACCCCCCTCTCCTTCTTGAAACAATGTTGAAAACCAGCAGTTTCAAACCTTAAATTCAACCAATGTAACTCTATTATCTTTTCAACCATCATTGTTATTGGGGGGAAGGGGGATATTCCTATATCTTACGGACGGAAACTTCATTTCATCGTAATCTTTCATTGGCTACAGAGTGTACCAAAGACTTTTGGCAAAGACTTTAGCAAGCAATCTGGAAACCACAAAAGCCAACTGTTGCCCTGTACCTTTCACACTGAGCATGAAATGATATCTTATGGCATAATTTAGGATTCACTAAGGTTTTTTGCAACAACTGAACAGCATATAATTACAAAATAAAAGCCAAAGCAATTATTTGCCTGATAAGAAATTAAAAAAGTTTGTCTTCAAGTAGAAATAACCTTATCATGGAAAAGATCCGAATGTCATTGCATTTCATATACATTCATTTATAATGGACTTTCGACGTTGCTAAAACGAGGAATTATCGGAACAACCCAGTAACAAGCAGAACAACCCAGTAACCCATTTACAATGACGCCAATTTGTTGAGGATTCGTGAACGCCTCTTTCCAAAAATGAGGCCACCAACAGCGTTTTTGTTGGAGTAGTGTGAACACCTATCGTATTCACAGCGTATTCATATGAAAACGGATTGTATGAACGGACATCGTTTTCATCAACGAAAACGGATCGAAACGAATACGGAGTAGTGTGAACGTATCCTAAGACTAGCAAGCAATCAAGCTCTTGCGCAAACGACATGCTTAGCGGCAGCTGTCTAGAGGAATCGATTGTGTTTTGTATTTCCATGATTATGATTTTAGGCCGGTTTTGAAAATATTGTTCCAAAGCATGCCGGCTGTACCAGTGCCTTTAATGTCCCCATAGCACCAGCCAGGGGTACTGGAGCAATGGGGCGTGAAGGTCTGTCTCTTGCGGCTTGCCCTTGCAATAGATAGAAGATTTCTTTACTTTACATTTTTTTGGTCCTATTCCTTGGCACATTGCTTTCCCTGCCCTGCAGCCCTTCCGGCTTCTCTGCTACCAATGCAGGCAAAGGATGGACGAATACTAAGTGGAACGCACTGAAGATTTTGACAGCCTACAAAGACAAAAGCATTTCGCTGGCCATTTAAATTCCCATTGGTTAGACTATACAATAGACCTATTGTTACGAAGCCAATCGGCTAATCTTCAATGTTTTCTCGATTTTAAACACGCAGCAAAGCCTTTTGTTAACTCTAAAATGTTGACTGACGGGACAAAGTGCCCTCAAGAAAATGATGAAGAAATAATAAAAAGAAATGTCCTCAAATTTTCACAGATAGCTGCCTTTAAACGGTCTCTACATAAAAAAATGCGTTTCCTCTCGGGTACGTCTACAAGCAAAGAAGATTGTTGGAATCCAAGATATCAAGGAAGAAAAACTGTGACAGTGATCGTATTTATATTATACTCATTGCAAGATTCAAAGAATCCGGCGGACAGCCTATCCTGCGGTTCTTCCTTCTCACACAACGCTACAATACTCTGACTAGTGTGTCGAACGAAAAGTTTCTAAGTATTATATGATTTGCTTGCGCTCTTCCATTCTATTTTCAGATTTTGCGGAAAGGCATATTTGGTATTAACGATTTCTTTCCAACAAAAAGTTTAAAATTTTGCATATTTTTTCGAAAAATCCATCGTGACATACGCACAGAAGCATCAATTCATTGGACAGTATAGCGTGGGGTAAATTCCTCTTTGCTCCGGTCAATTCAAAAACAGGCATTCTAAATGATCAAGAAGGTTGAGCCGTTTAAAAATTTTCGTGCAGATGTGAAGCTTTTTAAGTAGGATGCAGAAGTAAAAGATACGGAGATGGAATACAACAGCATGTTCCCACGAGTACATCAGGCAAAAAATGGTTCCGAAAAGAGAACACCCACGCTTCATTTGCAAGATTCAGTGTGGCTAATTGAAATGCAACTGTGCTCAAATCTACAGGGCGCAAAAATGAAAGTGATGTCAATTTTAAATTCACTGAGCTAGCAAGGACGTCTGCATCAAAAGAAAATGCCGTGAATGTGGAATCTTCAGCTATTTGAGGGGTTAGCGGTCGCTGATCTTACAAAAACAATGAACAAATCAAAAAAATCATTCTTCCTTCTCGTTACACACTCGATCAGCACCTAGATATAAAATTTCTGCTTTGAGGATGCTTTATTTCCGCTCTTCTGAGCTATCATCAGAAATTCATTGCACAGTATAGCATGCCTCGACAATTGAAATGAGTGTCTAATTGCGAAAAGGGACAATATTCTGGTCAAAATAGAATCTGAAAGCTCAAGGTCAGAGTTGACAGAGTATTGATTAAAATAGAATGTCTTGCCTGCTTTGAAAGGAGTGATTCGTAAAAAGAGCGAAATCATTGAAGGCGGAGTGAAGGGACTCTTGGCTGGACAAAAAGGACATACCAATCCAAACTGCAAAGAAATTACACAAATCGCGGAATCTTACGCCTATGGCTCATTCTCTGGCCTTTGGCAATACTAGGTAACGGCATATGGAGGGATTATAAAAAGATTGACGGGACTTGATTACCAATAGAAAGCCATTAAAATTGGTTGTTTCAAAAACCTTCTACTTTACATACTTATCTTGGAATATTTATACTTATATATAAACTTTCTATTGGAGATCCGCCTTTAGGTTCAAGTAGAGACTGGTCTATGATTGGCATTCTGCGCAAGTTAGTTTATGGTAATTGAAAGCTACTATCAAAATGAAATTTTGTAATAACCGAGAGTGCGGAGAGTGGTGTGTTTATACTTATTTTGGAATATTTATGACATACTTATCTTGGACCCTTACATTCAAATGATAATATCAGCACGAAATTTGACATATAGAATAGATCCTTACTAGCAAGCTAGATAGGGACATCGCTAGTTTTCATTGAGTACCCAAGCAGTCAGTTTTCCATATAACGCCCTTTTTTCAAAAGAAGTAAATAACAACCTTGAGTAGTTCAACAAATAGCTATCGCTAGTAAACTTACATTGTATGGTTTGTATGAGTCTTTAACGATATCTGTAAAGAGAAACAACAAAATATAATATTGAAAAACATTTAATATTGTTTTGGTGACACGTTTTCTTAAAAAAAAATTCACCGATAAGAGTACAAACCCTTTTGTATTTTACATTCAATTTAAGATTTCTCTCTAGAAAACAATTACAAGCACTATTTTGCCATTACAAGCACTATTTTGAAAGTCTATTACTCTTCGTTTAGTGGCAAGATTTTTAAGCAATATAAGCCATATAGTGGGCAGCTACGGGGTAAAAGTTTGGAATGCAGAAAAGTAGCGTTTCTCGGGGTGCAATGATGCACTTATTTTGAGTGAACTACCCTGGCTGTATTTCTTACCTTTATGCTATTGGTTTAGGAAATTATCTTTTCGTAATTACAAGATGAAAATTTAGTGAAAATGGCATAATATCTTATAAAATCTGATCTCGAGGTCACACAATTTGTTCAGGTCGTTCGTGAAACAGACACTCTCTAAGCCAACGATTTGGGAATTGAAATAATTATACCATGACAGAAAACTAACTTTGGTACAGATGCGCACATCCAATTAAATATTTTAGATTAAATAATTTGAACAAATAAAGCAACAGGTTGTTCCAATAATCGCTTTTTGATACAATTGATAAATTTTAATTTCCTCTTTCTGCTAATTTAGTCTGTAAATATGAAATGTGGAGTGACAGTTGAAATGGCATTTTGGTCCTTTCCATGCCAACGTGAAATAAGCAAACTGTAATAAGAACGTTCTACTCTTTCAATCTTGGCATCATCAAATAACTTCATAAAGATTGAGTGTATATTCAGGTAGGTGAACCTGGAAAAATCAATATTTAATATCATAGCCATAGCATAATACTTGGTTAGTTTACTTAGAACCTAACAACAATTGGCTCTTTATCGACTAAATTTTTTTCCGCAAACGGGCAATTTTTCTGCTATGCTATGCTTGATAATGGGCTATGCTCGAAACGTCGTTATTTATTTAAAAATATTTTTCCTGATACAATTTACTTACATTGATCGTTATTATAGCATTATATTGTACCACGCGCAATCTAGTATATTTATTAAATTTTTCTGCCACCACCTTGATTCTTGGGTAACTTGCAAAACTGGTTGCTATTCTGAAGACTAACTTACCAATTGAGTTTTCTCTGCTACACAGCTTGCATTTAGACACAACACTAGCATGGCCTCTACCACCTTTAAGGGGAACAGAATCCTACAAAAAGGGTATTGAAATCACTTCAGAAATATAGGTAGAATGAAGGCACATGTCTTTTTATCTGCAGATAATTTGCAGCCACATAGTATGTCTTTACAGTGACCATGCAAATCAACCATTCTCATACTAATAAATGTCACATATAACAGGATCATGAAAAACAATTTGTGGAAGAGGAGGTGATTGCATGAATCACTAAACCACCACTTTAGTAGAGACCTGTTCAATCATGAAACCACAAATATTGATCAACACATCAAACATCCTACACAAATGAGCAAAAAAGTAATTGCAAATTATAAATCAAGCAATGTCAAGTCACCAGAATCAATCATCCAATATAGTGATGGCACAAAAGAGCACTGCATGAGACACCAGCAGCAATTTTAGAGACTACTTTGAAATAAATGAAAACATAAAAAACACAAGAAGCAATGGAACATTATTGAAACTGTGGAATCCAAGACCAGAAAACTCTTGAGGCTCTTTCTACTCCACAAGAGCAAAAAATCAAGCTACCTTTAGTAATTAGTAGCGCAGTTATAGACGCATAGTCAGAGTAGATAGCTTGCTGTTCTATTGTTAGCTAATTATAGGTTGTGTAGAGGCTTCTATAAAATTCAAACGATCGCTGAAATAGAACTGCTTATTATGTGTCACATAGAGAGTTCTTAGTTTTGTTTCACAGTTAACAAGTCACCAGCTTCTCGAATAACAACACAACAAACCAGTAATCAGCACACTCATCGCCCATAATTCCATTATTTTCCATGTTGTCAGTTACTTCTTAGCATTCCTTTTGAATGCTAAAAAAATCTGGAGCCCTTTGTGAATTACAGTTGATGCTTCTACCTAAAATTAATAACTTTTCTTCTGAAGAAACCTGATTAAGGAGCTTAAGATTGAAAGTGCAATAAATGTTCTCTTACTCAAACTTACAATCAATGTTAGATAAACAAATGCTTTGCTCTCCTCTCCACAATTCAAACATTTGAGCTAAAAAAAACCAAAAAAATAACCAGGGGGAAACTACAGGGGGGTATGGTTAGGTGGGTTTGATGGGGGTTGAACCCCCATAAAAAAGCAAAATAGTTTGTAGGTAACTGGAAACAAGCAACAGTACAATACTTTTAAGAAGCTTCTAAAACTTTACTTTCAGGGGTGTTGCTTTCTTAATGTGAAAACACTGCATAAGCAGTAAATTCTCTAATGTGGTAAAAATCGTACTAGATGGAATTAGCCTTTGTTTTGCTAATCACTGATAGTCCATGGAAATGAGTTAATACCAGCAGTAATCCATTGGACGGCAAATGGTTTGGGTTTAGGCCCCCAATGGTCAACAAAGCATAAATATGTTAAAAAGCAACAGGGGGTAAGGGGACAAAAACACTGCCGAGTATTAACTTCATAAAATGGTGGTTTTTCAACATTTCAAAAACACTCAACTGTATTAGGATAGGAAGAACATAAAGATAAAATCAAGATGTTTATAATAGCAATATGCTTTCCTTCCATTGTTAAATTAAATTGTATTGTAACTTGCATTTGCTGCAAAAAAGCTTTTGACATGTTAGAAAAACAGTATTTAAATCATCCAAAAAAGAGTTTGGCACACCTCAGGCAAAACATTTTGACTTTAGCAAAGTCTTTTACGTAAAGATTTTTCTTCAACTTTGTGTTAAAAAAGGACCACTTGCTTAAAGTCAAGCATAGCAAAGGAAGTCACTTGAAATATTACCTTAAAACATCCCTAGCCTTCATTACGTCCTTCATTGGCTACTGTACTGATGGTACCATTCAGGCATGTCTGGAGCCAGGGGGACTAGAGGGCTATAGTCCCATCACTTTTTTGCTAAAGTATGATATTCAGGTTTTGGCATATAATGGTAGAAAAACTATCACAAAAGTTTGCCAATTGTCTACAGCCCTCACCCCAAACTATGCTCCAGTGTCCTCTCATTGTTCTTTTATATCTGGTATCACCATATATCTACTACCATTACAATGGTTTAATTTTTGGCAGAGAATTATCCAGTTTCTTTATAAGTTTAAATTTTAAGTAAAAAATCTACAGTCTGTGTTTGAAAAATCTTAACTCACCTTTAGATACCATCGAAAATCTTCCCCTTCAGGTGTAAGGCTTGTTACACTCTCCATGTCAGCTTTAATCTCTAGAGCTATATGCTGAAAAAACATTTGATAAGTGAGATATAAAATTCCCTTCAAAAAATTATTCTACATGACAATAGAATAAAGGTGTAACTTTTAGTTTGCTTTCTTCAACTTTTGTCTTTCCTTGACCTTAGAATGGCTTTAATGATAAGCGACTGGCTCCATTTTCAAATTTTAAATAATTTCCTACAATGTAATAAAGTAAGAAAACTTTTATTACCGCAAGCAAGATAAAAAAATAGAACTAAGATAGTCTAACTGAAACCCCTCGATTTACCTCCCTTGTCACATCCTGATTCTCGGTGAAACAGGCTCTTTTGTCTGAAACAAGATTACCTTTGAAATAGGCAAGCTTTGACAAGGCAAATAGCCATTGCTCTTTACATTTCTATCATGTTTAGTATGGTTTCTAGCCACCCTTCCACCACCAACCTTTGTGTCTTGTATGACCTTTATAGAGGCAAAGAGAGGATTTGATCTATTTGTGATCTATTTTTGGCCACTAGTTCTCAGCTATGTGTGCCAATAGAACCTACTGTTAGCGTTTGAATAATAGTCTAAAAATCAATCAAAACATCATTTTGCCCCCGGGAAAGGCATACAAACATGAAATTTGGCAGAGGAAAAGTGGCTAGAAACTGTACCAAAACATGATAGAAATGTAAATTGAGGGTTTTAGTTAGACCAGCTTAGTTCTATTATTTAATCTTGCTACAAGGCAATTGTATGAAATTGTAAAACAAAACTTCAAATCTACATGAAGGATGGTTAGTTGGGTTATCACCAGGGGCTGAAATTTTGGGGGGTGATGGGCCAGAGCTACTTGTTTTCAACTGACAGTCAAATTTAGAAAGTAAGCTAAAAAGTTTAAAAGACCCTAGTAACACAGCATCATTCACATGATTGGGCCAAAGCCAAACATATTTGAAATTTTGAAACTGTGGCAATAATTGAGGAACCAGTAAACAGGCCCTGGCATTATGACTTGGATTTTTTAATGTGATTGATGTCAGGAAAGGATCACTTTGATAAAATTCATCAATACGTAGTTAAATCCTGTTCAGTCAAACCATTAGGGGGGGGGGGTTGAAGGTGTTTTGTCAACGTGTGTACAAACATTTTGTGAAAGGTAAATCATAAGAATATTTTTTTTCTAGTACATTTAAAAGATTCATGGGTAATTAGGTTGTTTTCAGGGAGTGGTAAGGGTGGTACTGCAAGGTACAAGAGAAAATAACCAACACACCCTGTGACAAAGTGAGCAAACTGGACAATCAACAGACCAGTTCAAATTCATTTCATTTAGCATTAAACTCGCAAGGTTGATATTAGAGATCTATATAACCAAACACAACTATTACTTTAAACATTAAAAGCAAAGAACTGTGGAAGAATGTTCATTGAAGGAATGTTGCAGGCACTGACACTGAGATAGGCCTCAGACTGCAGAGTATGGCAGTTTCCATCAAGATCTCGGGGGTGCAAGAGCTAAATTTGGAGTGTGAAAGTGTGCACTTTGGCTTAGTGTCCATGTCACTTTTGCACAAAAGTACACTCAACTATGTTAGATCCTGAGAATACCAATTGAATGTGATCGAAGTAAGAAAATGTACATGATTGAAAGATTGATTTATATAGGCCTGACGATTCTGACGATTCGCTCTGACGATTCGCACGCAAACTACCCTCCAGTTTTCCTTTAATAACTTTTGACTAACTACATCTGTAGGACTGATTTAATTTTTAAACATCACAAATACTATAGTTTTACTGTTTTTTCATATTTTCATAATTAAATAAAAATTCCGGTTAATATGAAAGTCTCCGAAACTTAGACAAAAATGTGGAATTTGTGAAAACAGCCCACCGGTTTTCCTTTAATAACTTTTTGCAGAAAAATGGTAAAAATACCATTTAAAGTTGAATCGATAGAGCAAAGTTTGCGACACTGTTTTTTTACAGTTTGCAAGAAGTTAAACCTGTTTCAAGAACATTTTCAGCCCCCTGAATGTTGGCAAAAACGAAATTTTCCCAAAACCGCTCTTCAGTTTTCCTTTAATAACTTTTTTAAATCTCAGGGTTTTGGCCCAAACAGCGGTTAATTCTCTTCCTCGATACCTCCTACACTGTTTTTTCATAGTCTGCACTTGGGTTTTGCACTTTGTTATGATTTTGTTTTGCGTCCAAAGTAGGGGAATTTTTCGAAAGTGCAAAATCCGCCTCTAACCATGATGTAAACTTGAGTTTATAAGTCGTGCCAGGAGCTACCCCCTGAGACAGTTTTCATTTCCAGTTGTTCAGTATTCATCAAAATATTTGTTTAATTCTGTTTTTAAAGAAAATTATACGTTTTATTTGACTTCCGAGGTCTAGGAAAATGATATTCTTTTCCTGTCACCATATTCAAAACCACTCGGCCTATCAACTGCTGTCAAATTTTTTCAGATTTTTTTCTGTAATTTTAACCTTTCCAGTCTTGTAAATGATGCCCTTACCTAAAGTTTGTTGCCTTGGTTGTCCAAAATGGACGCTTAGCGATTCGAAAACAGTGGCTTGAAAAGAGCGAAAATCTCACTACCCTGCTCAAAAGTCTCGCTACTCGGCTCAAAAGAGTCGATTTATTCATTGAGGGGAGAGCCATGACACAGAATGCGCTCTGACGATTCGCAACCCTCCTCTGACGATTCGAGCAAAACAGCCCTCCGGTTTTCCTTTAATAACTTTTCGCAGAAAAATTGTAAAAATACCATTTATTGTTAAATCGATTGAGAATGGTCTGTTACACTGTTTTTTTATAGTTTGGAAGAGGTTAAAAGTGTCTCAAGAACATTTGCAGCCCACCGAATGTTGGGAAATTCTCGAACTTCCCAAAACCGCGCCTCAGTTTTCCTTTAATAACTTTTCGCAGAAAAATGGTGAAAATACCATTCAAAGTTGAATCAATTAAGAATGGTCTGCTACACTGTTTTTTCATAGTCTGCAGTCGGTTTTTGCACTTCGTTGTGTTTTTATTTTACAAGGAAATTGGGGGATTTTTTCCAAAGTGCAACACCGCCTCAAACCTTAATGAAGATTATCATTTGATTCGAAAGTCGTGCCAAGTGCCACCCCTGCTTCGTCTTTAATTTCCTATTGTTTTCCATTCATCTGGAAACTTGGTTCAATTCTTCAAACTCCGGCTCAGGGGGTGACAGCTTCGTAGTGGTTTGAGGCGGTGTTGCACTTTGGAAAAAATCCCCCAATTTCCTTGTAAAATAAAAACACAACGAAGTGCAAAAACCGACTGCAGACTATGAAAAAACAGTGTAGCAGACCATTCTTAATTGATTCAACTTTGAATGGTATTTTCACCATTTTTCTGCGAAAAGTTATTAAAGGAAAACTGAGGCGCGGTTTTGGGAAGTTCGAGAATTTCCCAACATTCGGTGGGCTGCAAATGTTCTTGAGACACTTTTAACCTCTTCCAAACTATAAAAAAACAGTGTAACAGACCATTCTCAATCGATTTAACAATAAATGGTATTTTTACAATTTTTCTGCGAAAAGTTATTAAAGGAAAACCAGAGGGCTGTTTTGCTCGAATCGTCATAGGAGGGTTGCGAATCGTCAGAGCGCA